AAATTAAAAATAAAATCTTACCAGCCATTCTAAATGGCATAAAAATTTTCTGTCCGGTATCCGGATGAACAATTGCCTAGTAAATAATTAATAAATATTCATGAGAAAGAATAATATAACAGAAAAAAACAAATCTAACTTGCACGGTCTTTTGTGCTTCCCATAATTCTTTATCAGTAACATTAGCTGGTAAAGTTTTTGATTCATATTGCTCGAGTAACTGACGACATTCATTTAATTTTTTCTAAACAAATTAAATATTAATTGATATTAAAAAATAATAATTTCATTTTTACATCGTTGACAAGTAATGTACGAGGATCAATAATATTCATAAAATGTAAAAATCGTCCCCAATAAGTATTCTAATCAAATATACAATTTAATTTAATTAAAAATTAATATAAAAATAAAATTTACGAGATCATATCGACTTTTTCCCAATTCAAATGGTGGATAAGACATTGTGATCTAAAAAATAAATAAATAATCAATACGTTGCTACGGGCCTCTTTCATTTTTATATTATTCTTTTTTTTTGTGTTCTCTTGCTTCCGCACTGTGCGCTAGTAGGCGAATAGAAAAAAAAAAATAAATGTCAATATTACCTATCACTACGGTCAAGGGCAAAGACTCAAGTGAAGACAACGAACGCAAGAAGAGTTTACAGCAACAACGAGATTTTATCATCGATCTACTTAAACATTATTCGATTGTTGCACTTGATATGAAATATTGTAAAGAATACATTCTCATTCATGTCTCGTACAGTATAAATTTTTTTCTTTGATAGTCAAAGATAAGAACAATCGTGTACCATTTACACGTTGTCGTACATGTCAACATACACGCACAATTTATGATTTTGAACTTCACGATCTCGATCAAGAAAAACAATCTTTATCGAAATATAAAAACCAATTCTGTTTAATTGTTAATGTCGCTACATTCTGACGTGTAACATATCAATATATACAATTGAATGCATTACAAGAAGAATTTTCTAAAACGAATCAATTTACAATTCTTGGTATTCCATGTAATCAATTTGGTTATCAAGAACCTGCTGAAACAAAAACTGAATTATTAAATGGTTTGAAATATGTTCGACCGGGAAATAATTTTCTTCCGAATTTTCCTTTATTTTGGATTGTTGATGTTAATGGTAAAAATCAACATCCATTATATGAATATTTAAAAGCATGTGTACCATCAACAAAAAAATATTTTGAAGATCATACGATGATTTTTTATGAACCACATCATTCTGATGATATACGATGGAATTTCGAAAAATTTCTTATCGATTCTAATGGACATCCAATAATGAGATTTGATAGTGATGCTGAGCCATTATTTATTCGACAATTTATTGAAAAACTTCTTCAATTTAAAAAATATATATAAACTGTAAAAAGAAAATAATAAGCATAAGCAAAAAAAAAAGCTTTTTTTGTTTTTATTCATCTCATTATATTAATGATGACTTTTTCGTAAACCAATATTGGACGAATAAGTCGGATAAAAATTGTTTTTATATATCATTCATGTCATTTTAATGCATTCAATTCATTAATGAATATAAAAATAAAATTAATGAGACGAATAAAAATACAAACAAACAAAAAAAATAATAACTGATATGTATAAATTCTATTTTATCTGCACGATAAAAATAATATAGATGTATGAGTAAAAATAGGTTAAAAATGATTAGAAAAATAATCTGGTACAAAAACAAAAAAAATTCAAACACTAATTATAATATGAGATTAATTATTATCTTTAGACATTTCTGATTGTAAAAGCGGCGTTATCGGAGGAGGAGCACCACCTTCTTCTACATTTATAATAACTAAATAGAATAGAATAATAAATTATAACAGAAATAAATGAAAATTTCGTACGCTGTTTTCGATCTTTGGAATTTAGACGATTCCGATTTGAAATACCACAACAAAAATAACAAATTAATATCGAAGATATATCAAATGATATGATCATTGAGAGAACAATAAGCAGAGCTATTTTACCGTGAAATGATAATGGAGGTCGATGTTGACCTATGAAATAAATCAATAAGATAAACTGAATTTGACAAAAAACAAAACTTACTGTATTCACAATGAGCTTCATCAATGTCATTCGGACAATTTCGAAATCGATCACAAACAAGACTTCGATCGATACAATAGGTATCCGTAAAACAATCAAAACCACAGGGTGTATACATTCCTATAAATTAAAATTCTTTTAGTAAGAACAAAAGAATGTTTTTTTAAACTTTACGTGTTTTTATCTTTAATGGTGTAACAACCATAGAAAATTTCGATATAGGAAATTTTTCTAATCGATAATAAATGACAGTTAGTCGCTCTGTATTAATATAATATTCAGTACCATTGGTTGCATTACAATCAATAATAGTCTTAAAAAGAAAAATAATAAAGTATTTTTTAAATAATTAGCTTAATTACCGTTTCACCGGTTTCAGATTCAATAATGACATTTTCTGTGAGACATGTAGGTGGATTATGTAAATATATATAAAATCTTGTAGAAACTGATAAATTAGCCATTAGAGATGCATTATTTAGAGTTGGTAAACAGCAACTTTGTAGGTTTAATTCACATTTACCCACCCATGGTGTTCTAGATAAATATCAAAAACAATATTTTTATCTTTCCACATATTTTACTCAACAAACCCAGCATATCGAACAACACCAGCATCGAGTGTAAATGTATTCTGTGCATTACAATAAGGTCCATATGTATTTTCAAGATTAACTAAATCATATGCAAAAAAAAATTTCATTATGTCAATATAAAAACAAAAATATCTTCTTACAATATGTTATTTTAGCTAATGTTGAAGATAAAAAGAGTATCGAAAAGATATAAATTATCGATAACATCTAAAAATGAATAAGAAGAATTTTTTAATTGACTATTTTATTTCAAATGTAGATATTAATTTAATTAATCATCAAACAATATTGTTTTGAGCAAGAACAAACAAACAGAAAAGAAAAACGAAAAACTACATTTGAATAGATCTGACCAGAGTTTGAGACAAGAAAAAGAATTCGCTGGATTACAAATATCTGACAAGAAAAATTATATACATATATCTAACTTCAATTGACATATGGATAAACAGGTTTTGTTGAATCAATCATTAATGATGTTGGTTCAGTATGTTGTTGAGGTAAAATTTTAATAACATTTGGTGCAGTAAGGTCTCTCATAAGACCAGCATCTTCACCAACAACAGCAGCCATTTTATTTTCTAAAATTTTAAATTATCTAACGAAAATATTCGAAAAAAAAAAATGTTTCATACTTTGAAATAATTTATCTTTTTTTGTTGGATGAAAACGACGTATAATTGCATGACATGTAGCACGACAACAACAGCAAATTAAAACTTTTAATTCAATAAAAATGTGATATTTTCTTTAAAAGAAAAAACAAAAAGCTTACCTATTGATACAACACAAAACATCGAAAGAAGTCCGAATATTAAAAGAAGAATTGTACCAATTGATATCGAAACTGAAGATGGAATTGCTAAATTAATCAGAATAAAAAAAATCTATTTCAAGTAATTAACAACATACGATAACAATGACGTTCATCTTCACCATTTGGACATTCAATTCGTCCATTACATTCAAGTTGTCGATCAATACATGAATGAGGATAATCCAATGGACATTGAAATAATATTTCTCTATCCATACATGGTTCTAAATCATTTTTACATTCAAAAAGATAACACGTAATTCAAAATATTTTACCTTTTGCTAATGCAGTAACTTGAATATTTGTGCTGTATTTCATTTCTTGTTTATTCATATTTTGTTTATATGTTAAGCTAATTATACTACATGCCATTTGAATTTCACTTGAGTTTGTATGACATGTATATTGTATCGCTGGTGGTGCTGTCTGTAATGAGAAAAAAAAATAGATTTTTTCGATAAGAAGAAAACAATCTTCATGTAAGTATTACTTGTTTAAGAAGAGAACTACCCGGAAGACATTCGATAGTTACAGTTGATGAACAATCCATTTGTCGTAAAAGAAACACTCCAAATCCGTTTTGCATATCTGAGGACCATGGATTTGAAATATGTACTGAACAACCTTCGCTTTCATTATCAAATTTTGGTGAAAAACTAAGTAAAACAGCATGTTTTTTCGTTATTGTATTATTTTCATTTGTCCAACAATCATTATGAGAATAAATATTCACTAAAAGAACATATTAATAATTTTACAAAACTAACTAATAGACATACGATTATCAAAAGGAATTGATAAAATACTTGGTATTATACAAATAAGACCAATAAGAATAATCTTCATATTTATCTAAAAAATAAAATAAACTTGTTAATTATTTTTTCTTTTTATTGTAATTTATTTCTTTCATACACAAAAACAATGTATTTTAAACAAGAGCAAAAAAAAAAATATAGAAACATACACATAACATGAAGGGTACTGATGGCAAAGTGAATGCATAAATATATAAAGACGAATGACAGTCAATAACCAAGAGCATAAAAGATAAATAAAAATTATCATCAAATATATGCTTATGCTCACGCGGTACAATTAGATCTATCCGAGAACAAAAATAGAAAGTTTGATTTTGCTCCTTACATGAACTGAAAGGGAGAAGAAGGGAGGGCGAAGTTAGTATATAGAAATTTTTTTTTACTACGATTATATACAATGACAATATAGCACTACAGAAAGAAGAGAAAAGAAAAAAATAATAATGATAATAAATCGTCACTGCAAGAAAGAAAATATTTTTTGCGGAGACAAAATGTACATTAGAAAAGAAAGAAAAAATTGAACCGGTTAAACACTGTGAAATCCCCGTTTTTTTCCATTTGTTTTGGTTTTGTTTTTTATGAAAAGCAAACACCAACCTATATACCCGTACATACTGTTTTAATAAAAAAAATAATTATTATGGAAGACTAAAGATTATTTCGATTAATATAAGTTCTTGATAAGGCTCCTCCGTCATTTTGATGATTTGATTCGGAATTAAGATCAACTGCAGTTGCTGCAATAACATTCCTATATTCAACATGTCCTTCACTCAGTGAAAGACCTGATGTTCGATAAGGAATTTTTGTTTCAGAAAGTATAGTTCGTAATTGAGTATTTTCACGATCAACACGATTTAATTTTTCAGTTAATTGTTTTATTTGTGTTTTATAATTTTCTAAAGTTCCTTCAAGTTGTTCAATATATTGTCGACGACGTTCTCGACAACGTCGTGCTGCTTCACGATTACTATCACGAATTTGCTTTTTACGTTGATCTTCAGAACCAACATTCATATTTGAGCCATTAGTTGTCGTTGTTGTTGGTAATGGATGTGTTACTGTTCCAGACGCGGCGGATGGAAACGATGAACGAAAATTCATCGATGATGAATTTACTGGCATTTGTGCACCTTTTTGTCGTTTAGCATTTGGTGATAAATCCGTTGATGTTACTTCATTTAATGATGGTTGAGGAATGATAAGTGTATTTGCTTTTGTTAGTGGTGTAAGATGATTACCTAATTGTTAATAAAAAAAAATGAAATCATATTTTTATATAAAATCTTACCAGTATTAGTCTGTTGATATGGTCGTTTATTATGATTTACATTATTAAGTATAATTTGTGCTTGTTGTTTAATAAGTGGATGAGATACTCCATTTTGATCCATTCTTAATTGTATATTTAAACTTTGTTCATTTCCATTATTGATTACAGATTTAAATTGTGGATTATTATTATTAATATTATTTGAATCACTTGGATGTGTCACTGTTGATAAATCTGATAGACGCGTAAAAGAATGATTACCAGAATCATCTGTTGAATTTTCATCATCAAGACTATTTTGTGTATTTGAAATACTATTATCATTATTGTTTTTCTGAGATTGAGAATGATTATTATTATTATTATTATTATTGTGTACGGGTGATGTTGGCTCTGTATGGGATTGACTTCGTATAAGAAGTTTCTTTTTAGGAGATACAATAACACCCATATTTACTGTTGGAGGTGAATCATAACGTATATTATCACTGTTTATTATGGCTGTTGTTGTTTCACGTTCATTATTTCCATTGATTAAGGCTTTTATTGGATATTGAAATGGATTTGTATTTGTCAATGCTTCTAATTCTTTAACAACCTAGATGTAAATAACAAATATGAATCATATAAACAATCAATCAAAAGAAAATATATTTCATACATCTGCTGTTGATGGGATTTCAATAGTTGATCCATCATCATTTGTTATGACATTAGATGGTTTTTCTACAGTAAAACTATTCGATGATGATATTTTTGCAAATGGTGATTGAGTTGGTCTACGTGGTTCACCAAGACTTTGTTTAAGTTCATCTTCAATTTTTAATACTTTTACATCAGCTGATGATTCTTCTGTTGAAGATGTTTCACCTGTTGTTGTCGTTGCTATTGAAGCTGGATTTGATATTGTAGAATTTGCATTATTAGATGAAGCATCTGTATCTGTTGAATTAAATGTTGGTTTATATATTGATGGATTTAAAACAATATTTGGTGTTATCAATGATGGAGTATCCAATGTGCTTGCAGTAAATTCATATTCTCCTTCGTCTGTTTGCATTGATGATGAATTTAAGAAATTTCTCTAAATCAAGCTAAAAGTCAAATATGAATCATCTTATTATTTATAATTAAATGAGACGATTAACTTTTTAAAAAACAGAAAAAAAAATTTATCTATGAAAAACTCTGTGTATACACACGGTATAGGTTATCTCTATCTATAAGCTTAGCCTTCTTTTATCTCGGAATTTTTTATAAATAAATAAACAAAGTAAATATATTGAGGTACAAAAACAACATAAAGAAAGAATGAAAAAAAAAACTCAAGATAAAAAAAAAACAGTTTATCTTCAAATAAGAATGGTTTAAATGGATGAATCAGAAGAAATTATATTCGAAATAAATTATATATAAAAAATAATTTCCAATTAATAAAAATAATCTTTAGAGAGAAAAACAACATTCACATTTTTCTCGATAGATGTCACTTTTAATGACTTATTAATCTATGTGCTGTCTACACAGTTATAATAACAACAAAACGAACGAACTATACAAGTAAACGTATATGAATCAGGATGAAAACATTCTGCGTACATCTTATTATTATCATTTATCTCTTATTATGTTCGAAAACAGATACTTCATCTGAATATGAATCAGATAATATAAATCATGAAAAAACAAAATATTTTCGTGAAGAAAATGACATATTGTCCACCTCCACCAAATGGGATAAATACATAAGATTAATTGAAAATGCTGAAGAAAGTCATTTAAATCAAACAAGTGATGATAATCATCGATCAATATTTTATCAACAAATTGATAATGATTTTGCCTATTGGAAGAATCAATCGATTGATGATATAAAAAGTCGATTAATTGTTAGTGAAACTCTCGCTAAAACCTATCGTCTTACATTATATCAAGTAATTAATCATCGATTATATCGTCAAACAGAAGATCAATTAATATTTCCAGCACGAAATTATGGAATCGAACATTTTCTTTTAAATATAATTGATTCATTACCAGATATGGAATTCTTAGTGAATACATATGATTGGCCACAAAATCAACCGAACATTCCAATTTTATCATTTAGTAAATCATTATTATCTCGTGATACAGATATACTTTATCCTGCATGGGCATTTTGGGATGGTGGACCAGCATTAGGTAGTGTTTATCCAACAGGTATTGGTCGTTGGGATATTATGCGACAAACATTAAATAAAGCTCGTCAAAATTATCCATGGTCAAAAAAAGAATCTCGGGGGTTTTTTCGTGGTTCACGAACATCATCTGAACGTGATCCACTTGTTTTATTATCTCGTAATCATCCGGAATTACTTGAAGCACAATACACAAAAAATCAAGCATGGAAATCTGATGCCGATACATTAGGTTATCCACCAGCTGATGAATTAAAACATGAAGCATTTTGCCAATTTAAATATTTATTTAATTTTCGTGGTGTTGCTGCATCATTTCGTTTACGACATTTATTTTTATGTGATTCACTTGTTTTACATGTTGGATCAGATTGGATAGAATTTTTTTATGAACGTCTTCAACCATGGTATCATTATATACCGATAACAACTGATTTACATGATGTTGAAGATATTTTATTATTTGCTCAAAATAATGATCGTTTAGTAAGTAAAATAGCTCGACAAGGACGTGATTTTATTTGGAATTCTTTAACAATGGAAAATATTGAAGGTTATTGGAAAGAACTTCTATTAGAATATTATAAATTATTTGGAAATGATAGAAAAATTACAATGAAAACAAATTTTGTTCAAGTTGAGCGACGATCAAAACCATAAATTTTGACATATTGACAAATAAGCGTTTTCCCTTGCTTATCTCTAACTGTCAGATCTAAACTAATAAGCTAACTCAAAATGCTTTCTTTTTTGTTTTTTGTTTTTCTTGTCAACTATCTTCCGTGCAATGAATGGTGCTTTGAAAAATGTTTTATCTTTATTCTTTTTAATAAAAAAAGAAACAACAACAATATTATTATCATCAATCAAATAAATTGACAGTAACATTATAATTGATTGGACATTCAGTAGTTGTTTTTGTTTTATCTTTTGTCTTTCGAGATCGAATGCGTCGATTTATATCATGTTCAAACATCTAAAGAAAAAAAGCGACATAGAGAAATTCAAGATTGATATAATCTAATTTGAAAGGATCGCTTTTTCTAGATTACAAACCTCATCATAATCAATTTCGAGTAGATCATGAATATCTCGTTCACTATTTATTTTACGTAAAGACGTAAATGCAAGAGCACATGTTGCTACATCTGGATGATGATGATGAGTGAGAGTCTAAAAACAATATTTTTTGTTTTAATAATAAGACAAAATCAATTCGAATTGTTTTTTACTTCTATTTCCCATAATGAACTATCAATTGCATTTGTTTTATTTGGATCAATTTCTTCAGATAAATAATTATCTTTAATTGGATCTGTTGATTGACTTGGTTGTCTATCGATCATAATTCGGATTTGTGGATGTCTTATACATAAATTATAAATAAATGTTATAATTAAACATTGATCATATTGTGGTATTAATAAAGCTAATCGTGCAAGACGTTTAGCAAAACTAGCAACAAGATTTACTGGTAGATGTCTAAATAAAATATTTTCAAAAAAACAAAAATATTTGAAATAAAAATTAACGTACGATGATTGTAAAAATATATCAAGTAAATAGAAAAA